AGTATGGACAGTGGCTCTCAAATAAAGACACATGCACTGATTGTGGCTTAACCGTACATGTTAGGATAATAGGTATATTATTATTATTAACGACTTTGACTCAGAATCTTGTAAATTAGGACTCCTTAAAATTTAGTAACGTAAATTCCTATCACCCTGTGTATACAAAATTTTACGACAATCGGTCCAATATTTTCGGAGATTATCTGTCTCCTAAAAATCGACAAAGACGTGGAGAGACGACAGACGACAAACGAGAGATGGCAGACGACAGACCGCAAACAGACAAACGGAAACAGAAGGCCACTTTTTTCTTATTTTCGGGGTCATGAAAAGTCGAGAAAACTCCCTTCTCTTACACTGGGGAAGTAAAAACGGATACATTTTGATCAACGATTTACCATACTTACATTACCTTAAAATGTTTGCAAGATTTCAGAGCATGGAGTGTAATAGTCTTAAAGTTAAACTGCTAAACGATGTTACACAATTTTGATTGTTTCCAAAAATCTCGATGCCTAGGGTACAAAATCAAAACGGATTTATGAGGCGTAGGAGGACAGAGAGACAGACGGGGGACTTATTTTTGCGCACTGTAAGGGTCACAAGACATTGAGAAAACATGAAAGTAGCCGTGCAATACACTTGTACTTTGCAGCACTTCCTTAGCTTACGTTCGCGACCTAAAAAACACAAAATGTGAAAGAACCTAGTATCAATATTTCTCCCTTTTTCAGCACATTTGACCAACGCAGACTTCTGTAATTAGTGTAAAAAAAAATTGTTGATACTTTTTCACAGGCTTGTTTGTACTTATCACAAGTTTACCCAGGATCTTGTTAATTGTATTGGTCAGAAAAACTGCTATCATAAAAAGTACAAATGCAATAAATCTCAATATGATCTTGATAAATTTAAATATTTTAGGTCTCTATGCAAAGTTCTAACAATCACAGCTTACAAAAACTATATGCATAATATTCAAACTGAAATCTCTTCCGATCCGAAGAAATTTTGGTCGTAATAAGAAAGGGAGTTCGAGAATTCCAGGTCTTACGTTTTATCAAAACTCTGAATTATCCACCCCAGTTGACATCGTCAACGGCTTTGGCACATTTTTAAATAGCGTTTTTACTGTCTCTAATCCAAATTTAAATTTTAGTTTCACTGGTCCTGATTTACCTAATCTAACTGCTACAATCCCACAAATTTCAGAAGATGAAATCTTAGTTAAACCGCTTTATTATATTTTCAATTTAATGTTAACTTCATCAATGTTCCCAGATATATGGAAAAAAGCTTCTGTTACATCAATTTTTAAAAAAGGTGATTCGACGCGCGTAGAGAATTACAAACCCATATGTATACTTTGCAATTTTGCAAAAGCTTTTAAGTCCATACTATACCAAAGAATATATTCCAATATAAAAAGCTTTATATCACCTGTTCAGCACGACTATATTGAGAAAGGATCTACTGTTACTAACCTAACTACCTTCAGTCAATTTGTTTCTGAGGCAATCCATCATAAACACCAAGTAGATGTTATCTACACTGATTTTTTCAAGGCTTTTGATCAGATAGATCACTATATCTTACTAAATAAACTCCGGTGTTTTGGTTTTACTGAACCCTTACTAAGGATTATGAAATCGTACCTTCAGGGCAGAGAATTATTTGTTAAACATCGCAATTTTGTCTCGAATTCTTTCTCACCTGGCTCTGGTGTACCACAAGGTTCCAACTTAGGACCATTATTGTTCATAATTTTTATCAATGACGTGGTTGATGTAATACTTAGCTACAAGCTACTCTTCGCTGATGACCTGAAACTTTTTCTTGAAATAAAACCATTAAGAGACTGTGAACTGTTGCAAGAGGACTTAAATAGACTAATTTCTTGGAGCAAAAATAACCGGTTATATTTAAATAACGCAAAATGTTTTATTGTTTCATATTCTAAGAAAGAACACATTCTTAATTTCAATTATTGTATTGAAGGTGAATCTTTAAGTCGTCTGGAAATCTTCAAAGATCTGGGTGTTACTTTCGATCGAAATTTTCTGTTTACCAACCATATTTCTGAATGTATTTCCCAGAAGGCTTCTGATTGTTAAACTCTCACAATCGGGTTTATTTTTCGAAATTGCCGTGAATTCTCTAATGTAGACGCTTTACTCACTTTGTTTAACTCTCTAGTTAGATCTCGTCTAGAATACTGTGCGTTGAACTCGCATCCTATATATGCTATACACATTCAACAATTGGAAAAGGTACATAGAAAATTTTTGAAATTTGTTTCCTACTTGATAAATGGTACCTATCCACCACAAGGTTGTGATCATCGAACGTTATTACGTAGATTTAATTGCTGTTCACTAAGCACCAGACGTACAATTATCATCATTAAGTTCTTGTATAACTTACTTAATTATAATAGCGAATGTGCATATCTGGTAGGCAAAATATATTTTTTATTACCTAGACTAAATAGTAGATATTCAGTTACATTCTATTCTCCCTTTGTAGTTCTAATGCTTTAAAGAGATCACAAAAACTACTTATGTGTAACTATTTCAATACCATTGGTGAATACTGTGATATTTATTTTGATTCTTTTAATCACATACGTAGCATCTTAATTAATCATTTAGATAGTTTAGGTTAGGAATTATATTTCTTCAATTTAGGTTTATTTTGTATTGTTCTTTTTATAATTTATCATAGATGGAAATTTGCAGTTAAGTTAATATGAACCCTGTAACATAATCAGATGCAGATTCTCGGAAGGTAAGAATAAAGAAAAATAATATTTATGAGTTTGGGTAATAATGTTCCTACTCTTTTCTTAAAAATATATCCTTGTGCAATTTCTAAAATGCAGTTTTGTCTCTTATCAAAAAACTACGCTACAGAGTTTAATGATCTCATTAATGGTAATAGAAAAATAATGCATGAACAGGAGTTAAGAATGCTCTGAAATAAAATTTTTCTACAATTACTTACAGAAGTGAAACTACTGAACTTTTTTAACATTTAAATAAGTTATTATATGTATTATTTACATTTTTTTATTTATATTTGACAGATGTACCTACTTGTAAACACATGCAACGCACTTACATAGTTACTGGAAATACATGTGCTGGAACAATCATACTTGCGTTGCTGTCACTGGCCACCATTATTTTATTACTATTGACTACTCTATAATTTGGTTATAGATCAAACTATAAGTATATTGTTCTTTTCAGCATAAACATAAAAAGGATGCTAAAAAGTGTTAATATTAAGTGAAAAAAATTACATTGCATAGTCTACTCTGATATTTTAGGAGAATCGGATTTTGAACTGTCATATTTTTACTGCGGCCCAAAAGTAAGTGATCCAATTTGGTCATAGGTAAGTTTTTTTTTAGTAAAAACAAATGTATTTACCTCTACTAGGCAGTATTTTATTTTTAATCAATAAAGAAATATAAATGTAATTTTCCCCGAATTATTAAAATTACCCAATCAAAATTAAATTTCCTATGAGTCAAAGTAAAACTACATCATACACAGGTAATAAGTTTACCCTATAAGGTAGAACGGAATGCGTAGTTTTACCTTGTCAAGTAAATTTAGACGGGAGTGATACTTTCCATTTTACCCTAAAATGTAATTTTACACTACTTTGTAAAAATACCTTGGGAAGTAAAATTACCCATAAAATGTTTTACAGCGTGTGCTTAAAACTTTAACAAGGTGCAGTACTGCACCACTTTATTTATTTACACTATTATACGAAGATCACTTTAAAAGCATACAGATAATATTTTACAACTTTAGTCAAACAACCCAACCCGCAAAACTCTAAAACCATAAATTATGCAGGTACGACCGCCAAAAACCGTCTGCTTGGAGCAGCACAGGAAATTCTGTAGGCACACGACAGGGTTTACAAGGTTACAAAAACCCTACTGTGAAAAGCCGACTCGGCATTGTCAACCAATTATGTCATAAAATGTTATTAGTAAGCTTTTAAAGTGAGCTTAGTATATATTTGCAGTCTTTCCTTAGCTCATTACACAAATAACAAATAAGAGTTATAGTGCTCCAACTGCTGGTTCGTTTTTATGACTGCATCCTATTGTGAAGGAGTTAAGTCTTCCACAAGAGGCCTCTCCCGCAAGTAATCCAGCGGTCATAAACCATCAAGGAACCAACTGTACACTACACAGGACCGTATGGGCCCGTAAACCTTTAAGATGATTTATGGCATGGCTATTTACATTTTCAATAGAGTTCCTAATACTTGCGGTAATTGAGATTGCAGTGCCATAAAAACGAAGTCAGAGTTGGATCACTATAACACCAAGAGTAGGAAAATAATGCTCAACTCAATTATTCGAGTTTTTATTCAAATGACAATTATTTTAACACTACCCCTGATCTAAAACTGATTTAAGCATATCGTGTGATAAAAAAAGCACAGATCGATATTCTGAAGCATTATTATTATTACTGATGTTTGGTTAATAAAAATGTCAGTTTTTAAAAAAGTGTCGTACATAATGGTTATTAGGAGTACGATTTTTTTTCCGAAAACTATACCGAAAACCGATAGGATTCTCGCAATTTGTACTTGCTAAATCTATCGACACCAAATTACCGGACACCTATATATTAGTTTCATTGCTAATGACTATGCAATCTTCCCTGGAGGACAGTTATTCTTCATCAAAACATCACTAAATGAACCAACAATTACTAGCCTACAACGAATTGATAACAATTATTGTAAACATAAATATTCCAACAGACACATTCGATAAACATTAATGCAAATTAAAATTTACAATAGCTCATAAATATCAGTCCCATTTACATAATTATGACATTTTAAAGCATCATAAATCTTCAATTGAAATTAAATACTGCAGAATTGTAGAAAATTGCAAATGAAGTGATTCTGATTTTTTACTTCAAGATGGAATAAATGTATAATGAACGACTCACCTGTCCGCGATTGACGAATCCGTGCTTGGCCGCGATCTCGTCCGCCACCTCGTTACCATCAGGGATGTGAACAGCGAACTCATTGGAATATAAGGGTTCTTCACGACCGACTGAAAGCACCACCGTGCCCAGTACACACCCGCACACGAGAAGATTACACAATCTGACTACGTACATTATGATTCCAAAGAGCGGATACCGATGAGTATGCTTGAAAATGATCGATTTGCACGAGGAAAATTTTCAGAGCGATCATAGGGCACTGGATGGTTTCAAAAGATCTGAAATAAAGAAACGTTGATTAGTGTGTTAACATGCGAGAGAAGGGAATTGTGTGTAGGTTCTAAACAATTATGCTGATTAAATTACCCAAAACTTTAAAATATTCAAAATAAAAAAATAAAAAAAAATAAATGAATGTTTCGTTTTAATTTTATAAATAAATGATTATTATTATTAAAGCTGACTATCCAAATAATTCAAAATTTCAGTATAGTGGCGCCATCTGATGATAAAAGTGACAGTCAGCAGAATGAAATTTGTCATCTAATTTTTTAATAATTTACCGACAAGCGAAATAAATAACTGTATATGGTATAGTATCCTTACACAAACCGAGAATTGCTCGACTTGGAAAAAATTTTATACATAGGTACGTGCTCCCAGCTCTACATTTCAACACATATGCTGTCTCTTGTGATAGGCTTTTCATTCATGCGGTCACTGTTGAACATAGTGGATATAATTTCGACATGCCATTTGATTTTTAAATGTTGGTCAGTTGGAGATTCAAAGAATGGTTTACTAGTCTTGTCGCATAAATAACACTTATTCATTTTTGACGTTTTATTTGCTTAAATTAGGATACAAAAATCCATGTCAATAAAATAAAGAGCTCTAAACTAAAATTTAATATACGTAAAGATCACTAGAGTTCGCTAGTTTACGGTCATTCCATGGCATTCTTTCCGCACTAACCAAAAATGCTGAATGGAACGACCATATCTCTTTAGAGATTAATGGAGTTGGCCATGGTTATAATCACAATCAGTCAGTAACATACAGCTTTAGCTTTTTGGTTAGAAAATCAGCTATCCCACGGATACATTTTTCAATGAGTCGGACAAACCTGAAAGAGGTCAGCAATGACACTAATGCCGCGTAATCGGTCAGAAATGACCCGATTTCCGACCTGTCACAACACCACTGTCGATTTGAACTATTATTGCAATAGTGGCCGCAAGTTTTTCTGAAAGTAGTGATAGTGATAATGATAATGAAGAAACAAAGACTAGTTTACCATACGGCAGATTTCTGAGAGAATAATAAAAGAAAAGCACGTTATCACCACCTAACACCAATGAATAAGTTGTACGTCGTTTTTCAATTTTATCCCACAGCAGGCAAGAGATTGAATGTTAATGTTTGTGCAAATTTCCGCAATTCTGGATATAACTTTTTAACTTTATGTTTAAAATACCCATGTGGAGACAATGTGGATCTGGAAATACGACCAATTGCCCCTATTCAAAGAAAAACAGATAATTTGACAGAAGAAACTCGTCAGGGCATGTACAAGTTCCTTCTTGATGTAAGTGTAAACAAGTGTAACAAAACAAACTGAAAATAATTTTCAAAATTTTTACACAGTATTTAAATTATTTAATGTAAAATATTTAACTATCAAAAAAATTGAGTATTATGCATCAAGGACTACGAGCCCTAACAACTAAATATTGGGACACAGACAATTTCTCAAAAAAATCCGGTAGATATTTTTGATATCATTCAATTCGTTTGGACTAAATGCAAATTTTGCATTGGCATCTATTTTGGCAGAGAGTGAGGTATTTTGCAAATTAATAAATTTTCTTAGAGCGCAAAAATTGTCACCTAACTAAAAAATGTGCAATTTTTGCTGACATTTAAATGTTGGGACACCCGAGAAAATTTGCTAAGTATACTATCGAAATACAAACGTAGTAGGTGGTAAATGCTGCCATTATTATAGGGATCGTAGCATTTCATGCTAGTGTTGGTTTTATTTAGAAAAAAATAGTTAGCGGCGGGCTAGTTTTAGTAAAAGTTCTGAAAATAATAATTTCTCAGTACCTCAAGGGAAAATCGCTAAGAAAAAGTGAAGATTTGTTCCAAATAGCTTAGTCGTCGATGGTAAATGTTGTAAAATATTACGCAGACAGAGGTACCATCGGAATAAAAGGTAAAATTCCCGGTAGGTCACCACTTGTGAAGCCGCGTAATCAACGACAACTGATGAAAATTTATAAAAGTGGACGACGGACTACTTCAAGAGAAATTACTACTTGCTGGAATAGCGATAACCAACTAAATTTTTCAAGACAATATTGTCGCGAATGCATACACAAATCAGGCCTTGGTTTTTAATTGTAAATCTTAAATAAAGTTATCTTTGATGGACTTTATTATTTATTTATATTATTTTAGGCTAAAGTAAAACCACAATTAAAAACTGCCCACAAGAAAAATCGGTTAATTTGACCAAAATAAAAATTGGAGAAAAGTAATACATAACGCTGAGTCCAAATTTGATGTCTGGGTGAGATAATAATCGAAAAAGAGTTATTGAAATAAAAAAGGAATTTTAATATGGATTATCTCAAACAAAGAGTCAAGTTTGCAAGCGGAAAAATGGTTTGGGGGTGCATGTCTATTAACGGAATTTAAAGACCACTTAACAACGTTCATGGAAGGGAAATTACAAATTCAAACAAATATCAAGAGACTTTGTAAAGAAATATTAACAACTACTGAAGCAGTCTATCCTGTTGATATTTATATTTTTCAACAGGATGATGCTTCAAGTTACACTACAACACTTATTACAAAGAATAATAATATAAATGTTTGCCCTGATCATCGAATAGCCCAGATCCTAATCTAGTAGAGACGGTATGGCGTGAAATAAAAAAATATTTAGGAAATCATCCATCACAAGCGATTGTCAATCTGCAACGGGAAATTTAGCGAGTGTAGGATACGGTAACAACTCCTGTGTATTGTAGAAAATTAGTTGAAAGTATGATGGCAAGAATTCCTGCAATTATTAAGGCAAAAGGAGATATGACCAGTTACTGAATTTGCTGTGTCCCAATATTTATGTGTCACAAAATGTTACGTTGTTTTAGAGTTTTATGTCACTGTTTGAGTTAGAAATCAGTTTTTGTTGTGCTGTAAACATTAACAGTTTTGCAAAACGTATTAATTTTAAAATTTTAATTATCTAAAATAAATTACATTTTTGTTAAAAAGTTTGGTGATTTTTTTTATAAAAATTTTTTGGTGTCCCAATATTTAGTTGTTAGGGCTCGTATGATAAGATGTTATTATTTATTGTAATCGTAATAATTCTGCAATAAAAAATACATTTATTTTCAATCATCATATAATTGTCACTTAAGGCGTCTTTATATTGTGTGATTAATCACATGACTAGTCACATGATTTTATCATAAGCTAAAATTTTACGTTTATAATCTAGTGATTTTACCATAAGGAACTTGTCATAAAGACAGTCACAGAGAAAAGCATATTGAATCTTGTCGGTCACAAGGAATAGAACGGTGCCTGTTCTGATGTGACCTGCTTTACCGACAAATTAAATAAAATAGAGATTAACAAGTTGAAACAACTTGTTGTAAGAGAATATCGAATGTATTCGAGGACATATGACAAACATTTTTAAAACTTGATGGATATTCGTATTTCAATTCTTCAAATAAATATCAAGTTCAATATGGCTCGACCACAATCTCACCGTAGGAGCCATTGCCAGCCCATACTCTTATTGTATTCTTATTTTCGCGATTGAAGTAATATCAACAATCGTTATTTCAAAAAGATGATTATTGTCACACATTTTTTTAAGATAAAAAAATGCATTGTGCTATCTTCGCTTTAAAATTGAAAATTAAATTTTTTGAAAATAACTTTACTATCAACATCAATTGTCACTAAAATTACACTACTGTGTATTGTCAATTCAGATGTACAGAGTCATCAAAATTGATTGAGAGAGTTGGTACTCCCTGTTTTTGCCGTGAAGTTTATCAACCTTATGACCGGTTTGTTTCAGGTTATGTGGCAATGAATTCAGTGGCGTGACAAGAGAACTGGCATAATCTGAACCAGAGTGGATTAGCTTCATATCATAAAGACATAAAGACAAAGTTGGCTTGGCGCTTCCAAGAGGATGTGAAAAGTGTTTTTTTCGGAGTTTTCACTTGGAAGATAGCGGCCGATACGGCGGCGTCGTTAAAAAGAATGTAAAGCATCAAGGTTGTTCGGTTTTTGTGCTGTTGTAAATAACAGAGGCGGTTGTGGGTGTTAAGTGACCTGAAAGTGGCCAATCAAAAAACGGGATTCTGGAATGTAAGTGCGCGCGCAACGATTCTACAAGACGGGCTAAATTCAAAGACAAAGATTGATCACCCATCTTGCATGAGGGGTTGATTGTCGGACTCACCTGAATCAGTTGCAGACAGGAAAGTTACCTCCTTGCAAAGTTGCGAACGGTTTTAACGTTTATACGAATCTCCTTGGTCGATGCGCACTCTATACCTTATTGCTACTCGCATTTTTGCGAACAAATTCCAGAAATAAACAAATCTAAAATTGGAGACTTCAAATCGGACAACAAAAAAAAATCGAAAAAAGACGCCCCTGAGTTTTGAAATTTGAAACTTGAAACTTCAAATCTAGCACCTTCTATTTTTATACAACTTAATAAACCAAATTATTCAAGTTCAGGTTTCCCAACTTTCTCAATCAATTTTGATGACTCTGTATTTTGTCATACATAAGCATGCATCATAGCAATGTAAACACAAGTCGGGTGCAAGAAAAATAAGAAATTATTATTAGGTAAATCACATGGCCAATGATTTTTGAAATGATAAATTCATGCGAAAAATCATGTGATTTAATCACATAACGTAAAGGCGCCTTTATCGGACGTTGTTACCGGAGTCATTCATCAAGTCATCAAATTTAAATGTATGTTTCAAACAACAGAAAATACAGCAAAAAATCGAAACTAATTATTACTATTCTCTAAAAGAAGCGAACAAAACAAATAACATTCCGAAGAAACAACGGCATTAATATGGGTTTCTCATCAAGCGAATTGCCACTTTCATCTTTTCTCGACATGCCATGACCTAGCTTTCGAACAAAGTGGTATCCCGTTTCCGTCTGTCTGTCCGTATCCATTTTTATTAGACACGTGATCTCCGAACCTGCG